ATCAGGGACAACAGGTTTTATGAAGTGATGAACCCAAACTTGACCTTTTTTAGTTGATATTGCATGTGTGGAGGAGGTAAGGAAAGAGGTAGAACAGTGAGGTGTTGCATTTCAGACAGTGGTGTTGGGGATCTTGTCAAAACTGAGGTCACAATTAAGGTTTTTTCCATACAGCAGATAGGAAACAAGAGCTGAATGTGTGGAGAGTGTCGTCCACACACCCACCCCCACACACACACACACACACACACACACACACACACCCACCCGCCCCTTTTTTTCACATAACCAAAAGAAGTCACACATCAAAAATAAACTATTGGAAATGAGGTAGACATCCCCGTGCATGTAAGAGGAAACATGATAGCCATGGTTTGCATAGAGCTTATTCAGGACAAACCCAGTGACGCGTACTCATGTGACTGATTTGCAAACAGACACAACATGTTTTCAGGTCCACTTTCAGTTCCTTTTAATATGAGGAAGACTTAATCAGTCTACCCATTTCTGGTGTCGAGGTTTTTGATTTTACTTCTCTTACTTAAATATTATTTTCTTTTGCCAGATTATTGTGCATTTTTGCAAGTTTAATAAATATTTTTTTCCTCCTAGGAGCTCTCATTTACCCAACTAACTGCACTTTCCTATGAATTCATTCATCTTTGAATTCATTTCAGCACACTTTGGCACTGACTGGTGAAATAACAGCTTTAAATGACTTGAAACATTAGATAAATCACTGCAGGTCTATGTGCAGTAGGTAAATAAAAAGTATGGTGCCTTTACTGTGGCTAGATTTTACTGATAAGAAATTTTTCTGTGAGGGAATAAACTAATAAGCTAAAGTTGTTGAAAACAATGTTCCTCTTTGTCATATAACAGACTGCCCAAAAGTAGGAGGGGCTTAGGGTTCATTCTTCAGCTGTCAGTTAACCAACCCACTGGCAAGGAATCAACGCAGGTGCCCTCAGTGATGGCTGTGAAATCCTCTACTGTGTTCAGTCTGGACTGTTCACAGGTGGAGAGCTCAAACCAATTCGTCTGCCTCCGTTCACAAAACCTCCACTTATCAGCATGCAGGCCACCAACACAGTAATGGTGATGACTGAAGGAGAAAACAGCTGGGTGAGAGTGGGCCAGACCAAAATGTGGAAACTTGCCAAAACAGAAGAAATCCAGGAAATTG